TTGTTAGTATATCCAGTCATTCTTCGAATAAACATCGTGAGGTGGGCATTGGGGCAACTGGTTCCCCTGTACTTTTCAAACTCGGGCATCTTGAATTTGGGCGGGAGCACCAAGTTAGGAACTAGTACTAGTTCTGTTGCATCCATCTCGTTGTGAGAGTTTTGTCCTCTCATTCCATGGAATGTCTCTCTGCACCACTGTTTCAAATTATCTGGGATCTCGTTCTTGGCTCTTCTCGTCGCTAGGTGACTGGGAATCCTGTTGGGCGAGATAATTGGTTGCGAACTAGCCTGTGCTTTCACACATTTAACTGTTTCACGGGTCAATGAAATCTTTTCTTTGCTTTTTTCTTGGTTGAGCTCAGCCATCTTTGCTACCATTTGGTCAACTAGGTCTTTTTGGTTTTGCAAGATACGATCCACGGTGGTCTTTTGCATCTGCTCCATTTTAACCTCCCACTCAACTTGCATCTTTTGCAAACTCTCGTTCAGCTCTTTCTTTAATTCCTCAAATTTTGCATCCATTCTCAGTACTGTGTGAATTCAATTGCACAGTTAGAAGTGCTTCCTCAAAGTTTTCGGCAAGGTATGATTAATGCATGTAAACATGCTTAAATGAATGTTATGCAAAATGCAACGATGCAAATGCAAATGCAGAAATGTTGATCCCAACAATGAATATTTTAGAACAATTTTCACCAGAAATAAAAGTTTTCACATTACAAGACAGTCCACTTTACAGACTTGACTTCTCTTAGATGTTGAATCTAAAATGGGTCGCTGCTTCATCTTGGATCTTCATCCTTGAAAATGATGCCCCTCAAGCGTTTTGTAAACAGACTCTTGTAATGCCCCGGCGATGCTGAAGTCAGTGCATCACTCTTCGATGAATAACGTCGGAACGATCATAAATAATAATCTACTGCTGGATTAATCCCCAGACTTCAATCTTAAATGTTGCACGATCTTCGAGCTCACTGCTTTGTCTCGGATCTTTGTATTTGGAACTGATGCCCCTAAAACATTCTGTAACCTAACTCTGTTAATGCCCCAGTGGTGCGGAAGTCAGTGTGCCGCTCCTTGATAAATAGCGATGAAATGATCGTAGATAAAAATCGACTGCTGGATCACTCATCGGATCAGTGGCTCATCATTTTAGTCTCGAACGTTTCACGATCGTCTTGAGCAAGTCTCTTTCTCGTACTCTGTGCATTTCTTTTTAGCCTTCGGTGCATGTCTGTGTACGCGACTGCTTGGTTGAAAACTTTTATCTCTTCTTGTGAAAATTTTCTCTCGAATATCCCCTTGCTGATCAACATTTTCGCATTATGTTATGATGATGCAATGTAAAGAAGAATGAAAAAAACAAAAACAACAGAAAATAAATAAGTTAGTGCACACAAAGAAAATAAAAGAAATTAGTTAGTATAGGTAAGACAATCGATATAGATAAAAGTGTTATTAATATAACACCTACCCATCATGATATCTACCCGAGCATGCTTTAAATAGATAATAGTCCTACCCGTACATGTTATCTACCCAAAATGAATAATTTCAAAAAATTGGTCCTAACCGCATGGTATCTAGTTCGCATGCTTTTATTCAAAAAGAAAACAAATTCTACGAAATTAAAACAAAAGATAAGGGTTTAGAAACACTCCTCCTTTGTGTACACCTAGTTTGGGTACCTACTGACGGACAAAGGTTCGGTATGACTATACCTAGGGTGATCGTTCGACGGTTCATTATATGCTTGGTTTCGGCTCTAACGGAAAAAAGGGACTCGAATTGTCCTTGATGTCGGTGCCCCCTTTGGGCTGCCAGACCCTCAATCCTTACCCATTACAGGTTTCAAACGGACCGAGTTCAATCCGAGGGGATTCACTGCCTTATACCCATACGAGGAATAAATTCCTACGAAGGTATAAGGTATGTATCCCATGGGTTATTTGCTAAAACTCATACGAAGAATAAATTCTTACGAGAGTAAAGCATTCACCCCGACTAATTGGGATCGAAGCTCGTCTCTAGAGCTTATGTTATGCTAATGCGAGTGATGTGTGTGAGGAGGAACATACCTACCTTCGACCCAAAAGGAAAACAAAACAAGGAAAAAATGATAAAATCTTGATAAAGCTGAAAGCCAAAAATAAAATGTTAGTATGACAAAAAACGAAGCAATTAAAAATTTCAATAAACGGATCATAAGTTAACTATGTACTCAAACTTATAATTTCCACTAAGACGACAATGTGTAAGCGACCTACAGCTTGACTCTCTAAAAAAAAAGTCCCCAGCGGAGTCGCCAAGCTGTCATAACCATTTTTTATAAAAAACAATTAAATATTATTTTTAAAAACAATTATGATTTTTTATTTTGAAAAATTGAGTATTTTGGATTAAATTTGGATTAAATTGAATAGAGTCGCCATCGACCTTTGGGTTAGGTAAGTCGAATACCTAAAAACGTCTTTTTAAAAGAAATTTAAGAAAAATCATTTTTTAAGACAAAAATGGTCTACATTTACCAGAAATCAAATTTAACGGGTTCGGGAGTCGGTTACGTGTGGGGAAGGGTAAGCACCCCCACAGCGCCCAAAAATGGTACTGTGTCGCTTGCACATTGTCGTAAATGATGGAAATGATAAATCGAATATAAAATTAACCTATGATCCATTTATTGAGATTTATTTAATTTGCCTCGAATTATTTAAAGAGAATCCTTTAACTCAATCAGAAATCTTGAAATTTGCATTCCTCCGTCGGGAAAGCTATTTCAACCATTTCTCATTCGTAAAAGAATATTCTACCATTGATTATGTTAAAAATACAAATCGAATATAACTAAAAACAATGTTTACATACGAATAAATTGATTAACTAAAAACGTGAATTGAATACAAATTAAAAATTTTGAAATTTACATTCACATAAAATAAAGTAAATTGTCACTTAGAATAACACACATTGCATCGTTTGAACAAATTAATTAGCAAAATATACTCAACTTATTTCAAGTTTCTATGTCGTTAAAATGCCGTATCGGATCATACCACTTCGACCAAGTGGTACTTTCCACGCTCATTCTACGCATATGTATTCTTGAAAATAAAATCGAAAATCAAATATTTCATACATAGATACAAATATAATGAGAATAAATGTAATTGGAAATACAAATATTTACATTAAATGGAATTAAACACATTATTTACATAATACAAATAACCATGTAATATGTAAAATACATTCATATATATAAATGACTAAAATAAAAATAAATAAACATTACAAACCAAAATAAAATACAAAAATAAGTAATTAAGGGACTAAAACAAATTAAAACATAAATTCGTAAGGGCAAACAATAAATTTACCTAAAGTATTTATACTAAAACATTGACCATAATGTAAACAAAGTAAATTAAAAATACTAATTAAAATAAAGAAAGGTAACATTCAGTGACTGAAATGAAACATTTGTAAATATTAAAACCAGAATCGAACATAAACAAAATAGTATGATATATAGCATGAGGGACTGAACAATAATTAAACCAAATACCCAACAGTGACTAAAATGTAAAATACATAAATATCCTGTCCAAATTCGAACATTCACAAAAATACACAACACACGAAATTAGTGACTAAAATGAAACTATTACAATCATTGGGACCAAAGTCAAATATCCACAAAAATGACATAACATACATTAATGGGACTAAAATAAAATATTTATAAATGTGATGGCCAGATTCGAATATCAAAGAAACATACATGAAATATTAAATCAGTGGCTAAGATGTAACATTTATAAATACTGAAACCAGAACCAAATATAAACAAAAATGTTATAATACCTAGGATAGTGACTAAAATGTAAAAGTGAAAAGATAAAGGCTCAAATTGAAATAATGTAAACTTCATTCCATGGCTAAATCGTGCGGTTACAAAGGATCAGGGACCAGAAGCGTAGTTACCCCATGCGTGAAATTACAGAACTCGTCCCCTCAAAACGACGCCGTTCTGGCCCGCGTATAAATGACCAAAATCAGGCCAAAATTCGGTCTAAGCCTCATTTCTTTCATTGCTTAAAACAGAGAGAGGGAGAGAGAGAAAACTCTCTTAACCTTCTCAACGGAGAAGAGATTGGTCCACCACCGGCTACGCCTGCGGCGGTGCTCGCGGCAGCGAACGGTGGCCGGAGATGGAGAAAACCCTCCAAAACCTTCCTCTCTTCACTCTCCACCTAGATCCCCAACTATCTCGACCTAAAGGTAACCCTAGCTCTCTAAATCTGAGAGTTTTACCTTCGAAAGTTTTGACAACCGACGACCGTCGGGCTTCTCGACCTCCAAACCGTGGTGAGATCCTCTCCTCTTCTCTCTTTTCTTTTCTTTTTTATTTTGGGTTCGAAACTCTCTGGATTTTTTTTTCACCGAATCCCCCTCCCTCCGTTTTTTTTTTACAACCCGAATGACCCCCTTTTTCATTGCATGTATCTTCCTTCTTTTTGTTGTGGTTGCTGAATGATGATATCTAGAACTTAGGGGAATTATGGGTTGATTTGGTAGCTGGTGAAATCCTGAACTTTCGGGATTTAATTTGTTTTTAAATGGGTTCACTGTTGATGATATATATATTTTTTGATTGGTTTTGCTGTTCTTCACTGTTAATAGATTGATGGAGGGACCTTCGGTCACTGTGGATGCAGGCAGCCGGCGTCAGAGGCTGTCGGCGAGGGTACGTTCGGCTTGAGCGGCGGCGGCGAGGGGACGCTCGGCTGAGAAGCTGGAACGTCAAGCGGCGGTGGCTGGGAGGCCAAACGGCTGAGCTGATGATATTTTAGGGTTTCAAACCCTAAGCTCTGCGTGATCTGGACCGTTGGATGGGTCCAGATCCAACGGCCAGAAATGAGGCGGCTGGAACATTGAGATGAAACCCTAGCTGGGTTGTCAAGTGGGCCTGGGATTGGTATTGGGCCTGAACCGGGTCTACCCCAGCTTGCTGGGTATGCTGTTGGGCTTAGGGATTAGGCCTGCAAAAATTTGTAAATGTAAATTAAATAATAATAATAATAATAATAATAACGATAATAATAATAAAAAAAAGACCCGGACAAAAACGGGTGTCTACACATATATTAACTATGAGTTTACATGAATTTAAGACATAAATTTCAAGAAAATTAGAATAAAAGGGTCAAATTGTGGTTTTAGTCCCTCTATTTTATAGAAGGAACAAAACAATAATTTGACCAAGAAAACAAAGTGGTAGGGTATGCATGTACTCACTATAACAACAGTCTCTGGCAGCAGTTGCAAGAATATCAGCACAAGCAGCAGTTTGAGGGCAGACGGGTTCAACTTCCTGTTTGATAGCATCGATGACTTTGAATCCCCTCAGAGAATTCGAGTTAGATGGTGCCGTTTTCGTGCCGACGAAATACTCGGTATCATCCAACAACACTGAGCCCTCTCAACCCTGCAAAAGAAAAAACTCACAATATCCAACTTCAATCACATGTTTATACACATGCATAAGTTAAAAGAGTGACTTGCATTAAAAGCAATCATGGAAATGGAGACGAAGCAACGATGCCGCCATTCTAGAGTCTTGGGAAACTGCGTTTTCAACGAAAGAGAAGGCGATGGATTCTGCCTCCGGGCAGCTATTTCTGTAAAAGTCGATCTGCAACGCTATACTATCGTCGTCGACAGCTCGACACATGTTTCGTTCATGGTGTTAGCCACATTAATGGAAAGCATTACCACACATAGACACAAAATCAAACACATGCCCATCCATATAGTCTTTACCATTTACAAATTGCAACTTGAAGCTCTCTCACACACACATGTGCTGCTCTGCAGATTGAAGATTTTGAAGTATCAAGAGAAGTTAAAAGGCAATCTGCCATTTTTGTTTGTATTTTTGAACTATTGGGCTTCAGAGAAGTTAACAGAGAATCTCTTGTTTCATGCCTCATCATGTCCATAAGCAGTGTAGCTTAGGCTAAGGAAACATAGAAAACAAGCCCGATAATATTTTTCTTAATAGTATGGAGTGATTATAACGTAGAATTTGTTTTGAATTTTTTTGGTTATTAATAATACTCAAATGAATAATACTCATTTTAATCATGAAAACCGTCGAATAAATTTTCGATAATGTTAATGCGATACAAGTGAAGACAGCATCTAAGTGCTCAAAATTCAAAAAGACAACTCAAATTTATTCTTCTGTTGAAAAGTGGATGACAAGATTTGATGTTCAACCTCATCTACATATATACACCCATGTGCCTCTACAGAAACTAATATGCAATTTACATAATATTAAACTTTTATCTCCTCTAATTTTTTTAGAGTAAATACCCTAATAAATTATTGTTTGAAACTTAAATAATTCACCCATTATAATATTTGATCCTAATTTCATCTTTAATAGTGATATTACAGAAGTTTGGCACTGGACAAACTATGAGAGTTTTTTCTTTTCTTCTTTCTTGTTTGATTGATTATATTGGTTACATTGGAAAGTTGCCTTTTTTTTCTTGGGAAACAAACAAAACTAAGCTTTCTATCATTTTAACTTTCCAGCAATGTTCAAGCAACCCCTATTGAGCCCACCACTTAAGGAAGTGTTCATAAGCACGAGCAATATAAAGGAAAAAAATATAAAAAGAATCGCATACCTCCTTCCTTGTGACGTTGAGTAAACTAGTGACGAACCCATGTTTACACCATATATAAGGGGATCCACAAAACTATGGTATTTTTATAAATTTTCATTATATAAAAGAGATTGTATAAACGTTAATTAGATTTTAAACTCATCAAGTGATTTATGTGATAAAAAAGAATTCCTAAAAATTTTGGGTTAAAGCAATTTCATTTGAAGGATACGTTTGTGTTGTGAATTAATTAATTTATTTTTTTAAAAAAAACACTTTATAATCACTCTAATATATTGTAAAATTAATTAAATTTTATTTTGGTTTACATTATTACTATTGTAATATATAAGAGAACACGAGAACAATTAATAAAATTTTCAAATCTCAAACATCTTAGATTTTTGGCAAAAAGATATAAGAGGTACTGTATTAAAAAAAACCCGACCCTTTTATTCTTAATGTAGCTTTCCAACTTAAAAAATAAACCTAATGTGATTTTTTGACTAATGTTTTTCGTCGTTGACCATTACGGTACTGATGTGGCAGTTTATGGCGCTGATATGGTAGTTCATGATGCTGACGTGGCAGTCCACAATAATTGATAACGTGGCAAATGACATGGTAAATAGACTAAATTGGTAACTTAGATATGGTAGATGGACTACGATGTCAGCATTGCAGACTGACAGGTCAGTATTGTGAACTTTCACATCAATATCGTAACCATTGACGACAAAAAACGCAGATCAAACAATCACATTAGATTTATTTTATAAATTAGTGGGTCACGTTAAGATAAAATAATATAATGATCACGTTAATTTTTTTAAAAGCACAAAAAACCCTAATTCTTTTGTCTAGATTTTTTTATATATGATACTTTAGAAAGAATCCTAATTCAAATATAGGAAAGGACATTATCGGTAGGGCAACTACCAACACTAAATATGAATGGTAAAAGAAACATGAAACGTTCAAAAAAATACACAGTGCAATTCTTTGAGTTAAAATGTTATGTCTATACATAATACATACACTACACATTCATGTGCATATACATACATAGATGTAGAAAAATTGCTAGTGTCTGCATAACTCATTTCCAACAAGAATATATGCGTATGAAATATTCTTTTACATTATATATCCTAAGAAATGCATGCAAATAGATTTGTTCTATATTATATATATATATGATCTACTTTCCAACAACAATGTCTTTATTCTTATGACCATATACATACATACATACATGTGTGCATAAGTGTCGAGGAAGAGTACAGTACCTTGTTCCTAAAGCTTAATATAGGTGAGACAATGATTTATGGCGAAAAAATCTCTCGCCATTCCCTTCTAATATCTAAGAGATTATACCACTTTATCCATTTCCTTGCTAATATGTTCATTCCCGTCATTTATTGGCCCTCCATCCCTCCTTTCATAATTAGCTTAAAAAGGAAGGTCCAAAAAGGCTAATCAATGAATGGAACACGGCTGAAAGCTATTATTGTATGCAGTGGATTAAGAAATATTTTTTAGGGCACGTATAATATAAGTATAAATATATTAACAATACAATTTTTTAATAAGGTGGACACAAATGAAGTTTTAAAGTGATAGAATGGGGGAACTATAGATCCACTACTAGTTGTATGTATGTATTCCATGCATAATTATCATATATATTTAACACATTTATATACTCTGATACATGGAATATAAATATATCATAAAATTTACCTATCATTTCCTATATTCATTATTGTAGAAATGGCCTTTTCTCATAAAGTTGAACAACTTGATCTGTCCCCATTACAATAAGTATCTACTTTTATCATAGAAACCCCTAACCCTAATCTATATCGCCATCAATATGCATGGTGCACACATTGAAATAGAGAGAGATCAAAGAAGAAAACAAAAGAGCAAACAAAACCCAATATCTCCATGGTTGAATACTCTCTAAATACCAAGATTAGCCACAAGAAAAATCGAGTACCTATTGAAAAGACTAATGATCTGATGATTTTACAGAATTAAAAATGGTGATGAAGTTAGAAAAAAACTGCATACCAGTGCTAAACATAACTAATTAAATTTAAACCCCATGTTTTTTTTACCTACTGATCTTCTTCTTCCCTTGCCTCTCTCCTCGTCGGTGTGAGAACGATGTCTTGAAGAAGCCCATGGTCCCCAAGTGCTAAAGCCGAAGAGTTCTGATCGTTAAAACGTGGTTTGTATTGAAAAAATGCATTGAACGAGGGATGATGGTTCGAGTTTGAGCTCGTTGCGGTGATGTTCAAAGAAGGCGGTGATGTATATACAAAGGGTTGTAATTGTTGCGGCTGAGGAACAATGAAAGACGACGGAGAGCCGAAACTCGAGGAATCGATTGCGAATCCGATGGTTCCACGGGGCATTATCGGACACGGATGTGAATGTTGGCCTTCGTATGTTGTGACGACGGTGGTCGGATCGTCGGACGATCTCTCGACTCTCTTCTTCACCCCGCACCCCACAGTAGTGCAACGATAATAGCTCCTGTTCCCCCCCCCCCCCCCCCCCCACAATCATATATTAAAATCCCACAATCAAAAAGCAACATACTCATAAATGATAATACTAATTAAACCAAAAGTGGATCATAATATATACCTGGGATAAGGGCTGTTTTTCACAGCTTTTTGACCATACTTTCTCCATCTATAGCCATCATCTAAGTGATCGATTTCACTCTTGGTGATGAAAGCAAATCTCGGTTGCCTTTGTATTTTTTGATTCTTCTTTTTGGGTTTCAACCTAAACCCATTAAAACTTTACTTTAAAAACCAGTAAAAACTAGGAAAAAAAAGTGTGTATATATATATAGTTACATATATATGTGTATATATAACGCATAACTTACAAAAGATGAAAAGGCTTACGGTTTCTTTGTCCTGTATTCATCATCGTGATCCCCAGCTTTGCTCCGCTCATCATTTGCGGTTACTTCATCGGAGGAAGAAGAGATGGAAGAAGAGTTTGGTGTTGCAGGGTTGTTCAAGACCTCGGAAGATTCCGGCACGGCGGACAAGAGGCTGCCCTGGTGGAGGTTCTGCTGCTTAGTGTTGTTGTTAGTGTCGAGCTTGTTTAATAACATGTCGTGGTGGTGGTGATCGAACACTGCTGCTAGCTCACCCGACGATGGTGGTGGTGGTGGTGAAAGGAGAATCGGAGAGTGATTAAAAGAATCGAATAAAGGAGAGACAAGATCTTGATGGATGCCGAGTAAATCCATGAAACCTAACGTCTCCCACTTATCCCCACCACCACCACTCGCTTCACATGATGTTCCAGCCATGTCAAAGATGCTTCCACCACCACCACCACCACCAAAGGCTGCCGGCGGAATATCGTCGGGAAATCTCATATTCGCCATAGGATTCTCTTGCTTCTTCTCCATATAATTTATTCACGTATTCTTTTTTTCCTTTTGATTGAACTGCAAAAAGAAAATAAAGACACAAAATGGGGGAGCAGAGTGTTGTAGTGTGAAATGGATTTCTTTTTTCTTAGGATTTTGAGAACAGCTTGGATTTTTTTATGAAGAAAGTGACCGACATTTGCCGGTCAATTATGAACACGGTACGTGTCGAAACAAAGAGAGATACGGTATTGAGGGCATTTATTGATTTTGGACCGCCCTCTCGTTGTTTGGGTCCACTTTTGCCTACGCGTATTGTTAACCGGTTTAACCGGTCGTCATAAATTATAACTTTTTACGTAATTACGATAAATATTAAGAAGTTGCAATAAGTCGAGTAATTTTGATATATTTATCTAATTTAATAATATGCAAATCATTATAAAGTTTTTTTAAATAATTTACGTAATTTTTATAATAACATTACTCTCCCAGTCGCCCACTTCTTCCCCGACAAGCCAACGCCAAGTTTCATAAATGTTCAATTTAATCCTTACATTTCCAACATTTTCAATTCAATCCTTAATCACCGGAACCGCTCTAAAAATTCTCTAAAATTATTTAATTAAGAGAAAAGTAAGTTAATTTATATAACACAGGTAAGCTAATGGTATTTTCACCATTTTTGATTTTTTTTTCTTTTTCTTATTTTCTTTTGATAAATCCAGGGTATATACAACTGTATAAGATAATATATGTTTAAATATAACTCTCAACCATTTGACATTGAATACTCACATCTCTGATATTTCTGATGCTCGATCTCGAGACCTCATAAAATAACAACAATTCTTTTACTATTAAAGTCGCTTGATTCGTGCTTTGATTTTTTTATTGAATTAACACAAATAAGTATAATTAATGGAAAACTTTATAATCGTTGTTTACGTACGTCAAATAAATTTTTATTATCATTAATATATTTCTTTTAACTACAAATAATTTTTTCACATGGTGAAACACGCGAGAGATCTACTCTTAAGAATAAACAGGTGACACTTGATAATGCATTGGAATATATACCATTCATTTCAAGCACACCAACTCTTAAAATCAGATTACTGTACAGTATTTTTATATATCGATATAAGTTAATTCAATATTATCTTCGTATTTTTTTAACGTAATCTTTCAATCCAGAAAATAAATCTAATAGAGTTATTTTACTAACGTTTTTTGTCATTTAACAGTTACGGTGCTAATGTGATAGTTCACGGTATTAACGTGGTGGTCTACGTTGTTGACGTGGTAGTTCGCTGTAGTTGTAATGTGGCGGATAACATAACATACGAGATAAATTGGTAACTTAAACATGACATATGGAATGCCAAGTTAGTATCGTGGATCGTCACGTCAGCACTGTGAACTATCACGTTAGCACCGTAACAATCAAATAAAAAAAAACGTTGGTCAAATGCCACGTTAAGTTTGTTTTCTAAGTTAAACGAATTCAATAAAAAAAATATGATAACCACGTTGATTTGTTTTTAAAAATTACAAGAACATCTCATTCTTTTTTCCTTTTACTTTAAATATTCTTTAAGATTTGTCATGAACATAAATGAGTAAAAATCAAATATGATGATTAAATTATTTTATTAAATAAAAAATAAATAAGATCAAATATTAAAAAATTCAATTAATTATTTAACTAATATCTAAATTAAAAATTATTTAAAAACTATTATATAAAAGAATTTAATCATAACCCCCAACTTGCTTTGTTAGAGTAGAAAAATAAAATTATAAAAAAATTAATACTTAACTGATAGTGATTTTTATCATTCATGCAATCCAAATAACCCTTAGGGGGTGTTTGGATTGGGGAATGTGGGATTCCCATGGGAATGGAATCCACATTCCCCCGTTTGGTTAGCCCGGGAATCCTATTCCCGGTAATGTAAGATTACCAATAGTGGTTTTTTTGGGGTATATTACCGGGAATGTCATTACCTCCATTTCCTTAGGTATTGTTGGATTACCGGCGTTTTAGACTAAAATGCCCTTAAATTTTTATTTTTTTTCAAAAATATATTTATTCTGTCATCGAATAATAAAAATTTTACGAAAGTTAAATTACAAATTTATCCTTAAATTATTTTAGATTTACAAAAAAAATCTATAATTAAAATTTTATATAAAGTTCAAGGGTTTAAATAAAATTTTACCCTTTCATTAAACTTTTTTTTATTTTTAATTTTATAAAAAATATATAAATATTATGAATTTAATTTTTTTTAAAGAAAATATATAAATATTTTCCAACTTGTAATATTACACAAATATATAATTAGGACAATTTGGTCAAATATACATTCCAATAATCTTTTATTCCTTTAACCAAACACGGTAATCTTACATTCCTGCTAAGCCAACCAAACACAAAATACAACATTCCCAGTAATGCTATTCCTTGGTAATCTTACATTCCCACTGGTAATCTTATATTCCGTGAACCAAACGCACCCTTAATAATATCTAGTCAGTCTCAAAAGTTGTGTAAATTTTATACTAATTTTTTAAATAAAACTTCAAAAATATTTTTAATAAGATAAAATTATAAAATATCAAAATTTATCATATTATAATTATTTCTTATAAAATAAAAAAATCAAATATATAAAACTAAAATAGTGTCATAAAATAACTCTACAACCGTGACATTTTATTTAAAAATTTTGAATATTTTTAGAAGTAAAATCTCGATAATTTATCAAAACGTGAATTTCTCAAATTTTAAGGTCATGTAACAATGTCATATATCACACTTGTATATGAACGAATATGAATAATATTATACGTAAAATTTGATATATTTATATTTTATAAGATAAAGATTTTTGAGTTTAAAAGAAATTCTTCAAAAGTATACGGATTTCACATTCATGTGTTGCGAGGAAGCTTTGAAAAAAAGATTCATGGAGGAACGAGCGTGAGGAACACGGATAAGTGTTGGCGCTTGGTTATGGAATGACCCAACAACACCATCTAGGATACATCGAATACCGACTGGGAAAGGAGACAAAGGAAGATAACAAATGTTGAGTTATTGTTGACCTGGTCAAAAGCTTTTTTTTTAAATATTATAAATAAATAAATAAAAATATTTTTCGTAAAATTAATAGGACGATTTTAAAATTAATTGTCATAAATGTATAATAATTTTATAATATAATATTTAAACAAACGGAAAGTTCTACCGTGCGACAGCCTTAATATAAGGTTAAGGAAATGTACTCTCGGTTTTGTTATTAATTTTTTAACAAAACCGTTAAAAAAATTACCTAAAACATTATTATTTCTATCTAAAATATAAATGTTTTTAATATTTCTGGTAGAGTGCCCAATAATAACAAAACTGATAGAAAAAATAAAAAAATCGATAGCGTATTACCGGATATGTTACAAAACTGGTAAAACGCCTAATAATAACAAAATCGGTAAAAATAATAATGTTTCCGGTTAATTTTTACCGATTTTATTAGAAAATAATAACAAAATCGATAACAACTTTCCTTAACCGTATATTAAAGTTGCCGAACGTGAAACTTTCCCTAAACAAACACGAACCGATATCATTTCACTATATTTTCTTAAATGTTTTCTTCTTTTATCCTCTATTTTATGTAGGTTTTATCCTTAATCTAAACAAGTTTAGCAATAATATTAATGTCTTAGATGTAGATGACGGACCATAATATAGTGGGTGCGGGGAGGTAGTGTCCATAACCCATGATGATAGCCTTTTATCATCTACTACAAAACCCTATATATTTAAATATTTTCTCAATTATGCAAAAATTAAATAAAAAATTGACATCCTAAGTTTTAATTGAAACACGAACCAAGTAATCTCGATAGTAAAGAAGTTGTTATTATTTGAGGTTTCGGATTTAAACACTAAAAATATTAGGATATGAGCGTTTAATATCAAATGGTTAAGAGTTATTTTTAAACAGATATTGTAAGGTTGAGATTTTTTATTATTATATAAAATTGCAAAAAAGTCAACAATGCCTAATGACCGATGATAAAATTGAAGTTATTTAATTTTATATTTATATGTGTGAATTACGTGCGAAATTTTTAATTAATATTAACATAATTATAAACGATTAGTTTTAATTAGTCTGATACGAATATACAATGATATATATATATATTTAAAAAATTAATTATTTGATAATAAATATTTATATATCTCTGTAATTATCGTGTTTAATCTTAAGACTTTAAACTTAATAATAATCTTTAATAATTAAAATCGTTTAATTTATTCTAGAAGGAATAAATGAAGGGGAGAAGTGGAATTAGAATGGAAAACGCCTAGCGGAGATTGCGGGAATGGGCAGTTCGCAATGTGAGTCAGAACTTTATTTGTAATACATAAATTAAATAAATGAATTAAATAAAAATAATAAGACAAAAAACATGAAGTCAAATTTGATAATAATTTAATGCATTAATTTTTTAAAATGAAATTAAATACTCGATTTTCTTTTTTGATTTTTTTAGTATGTGGCGCATAATAGTGAATTGTTTTTTTTTTTGTTTTTTTTATAAGAATAGTTATGTGTTTATACACATTTTTGTTTATTGTTATGCATTTATTTTTGTCTTTGTGACAAAATTTTATCTATCTTAGGTATTTTCGTCGTTTGATCGTTTTTTTTTTCGTTTATCTTTTTTCTCAGAATTAGATTTAATATCGTCAAGACTGATCAAGATGACATTTATTCATGAGCGGAGCCATGTAATAAGGGTGTCAAATGAACCTAAATTTTTGTATAGAAATTATTTTTTATAAAAAAAATATATAAAAAGTATCCTTTTTATTAAAAACTTACTTTTTATTTATTAAAAAAATATTTAAAAACTATGACCCCTTAAAAATTACTTTTTTTTTTTATAAAATATTTAATAATAACAAGTATCTCTACTTAACATATAAAATCATTTCACAAAACTATTCCTATGATAAAGTTTTAATTTTTTAGTATAATATAATTCAAAAATTAAATATATTAGTAACCAAAATAAGTTCAAAAATAATAGTGGAAG